GTATTTATATTATCCACAGCTATTCTATTAAAATTTTTATAAACTATTATTTTATTTGTCATAACATTAGATAACTAGGTGAGCGTTCTCTATACATAAAAGAGAACTACCATGAATAGAACACAGCATGTAAAATTAAGGCTCACAGCTATTACTAGGTATTCTTCACAACTTCCCTATGGATTATATGAAACAGTAAGTACAGATAATAATTATCTAACATGAGGAGTGGAAATGTTTTCTTAACTTCTATGATTTTTCATGGTAATTTACTAAAACAGGTTGGAGGTGAAAAAAGAAGAGAAGAAGAAAGAGAGAAGGAAGGGAGAAAGCAAGGAAGAGAAGGAGAGAGTGCAAGTTTCTCCTATAGCCAGAAATACTTTTGCAAACTTGGTTTCTAGATGTCATGCAATTAAAGGAAGACACATTAAGTTTTATAAATGTTCAGTTTGTGCAGACTCAATCAAATGGCCTATATAATTAAGTAAAATTAGCCGACCTGTCCCAAAGCAAGTATAAAATATGTTTCATCTTAATATAAGTAATCTACTAAATTCTTATTTACCTTGGAAATCATGAGACATCAATATATAAATGCTTTAAGTATGTTTATATAAATTAAATTTATTTTATCATAATTTTCTATGTTTCCTTATGTTAGAAATACACATAATTTGAGAAATTTAAAATAACTTATATCCAACATTACTATGATTATAATAAGTTTATAATATATATTTAACATTCTAAATGCATAAATTTAACAGGTTTATTTTCATAAATTATGAAAAATAGTGCTACATTAAGAATTTATCACATTGCCCTAACTGGTTTGACTCAGTGGATAGAGCATCGGCTTGCGAATCCCAGGTTCAATTCTGGTCAAGGGCATGTACCTTGATTGTGGGCACATCCCTAGTAGGGAGTGTGCAGGAGGTGGCTGACCAATGTTTCTAACTCTCTATACCTCTCCCATCTTCTCTGTAAAAAAATCAATAAGACATACTTTAAAAAATTAAAAAAAAAGAATTTATCACATGAGCACACTCATCTAGGGGAAATGATGAACAACATAGACTGATGAACAAGAGCAGCATCGATCAGATCAGACTGTTGGACCTCAGAGGGAAGGAAGAGGAGGGTGGGGAAAAGGGAGAGAGATCAACCAAAAGACTTATGTGCGTGCATAAGTGGTTATGGACAATGGGGAGGTGGGGGCATGTGTGGGAAGGGGTTTGGGATGGGAATGAGCAGATGAGGACAAATATGTGATACCTTAATCAATAAAGTAAATTTAAAAAAAATGAGTTTACCAACCAAGAGCTAAAATTATTTGTCTCTCAAATTGGAATAGGAAAACAACTAAATCAACTTTTGGACACTGCTACAACATACATCAATTATTAATGCAGTGTGCATGACAAGAAATAAATTATCATGATAATTTATGTTTATAATAAATACTTTATGATAAAATTCTATGAATATAATAAGGTATAGGATAGGTGGATTAAGTATAATAAATAATGGCATTTTTGTGGTGGGAAATTTTTTTTAGTATGCCAGTAATCAACAGAAGCCAGCAAATGATTAGATACTCCATGGCAGATATAAAATTATAAGTTTCACTATAATGCAAATTCAAAAAAGAAAATTTAAGAAAACATTATTAGTAAGTCTACATATGATACTCATTTTAAAAAAATAAACACCTAGATATTGCTCTTTAGATAGTTCTAAAAATTAATTATTAATGAAAATTTTATTCATAAAATGGCATGGGTCCACAAAAACTGCCTGGTAATAAAGACATTTGCTTTCTAAAGCATTTATTTATATTTATTTCACCTACATACAACTAACTCATTCCCCAGTAGGTATGTGATGAGCCAAGGGCATTGCACTCCATTTTGTAATTGTTCAGCTACAAAACTTTTAGAAATCCTTATCCATACAGCACATTGTTTCCATCTTTATATGCCATGTAATTAGGGCATTGGGCATATCCTATCTAATAAAATAATAATATGCAAATTGGCCATCACACCAACACACAAGATGGCTGCCCCCATGTGGTCAAAGATGACTGTCCCCATGTGGACACAAGATGGCTGCCACATGATGGCCAGCAGGGGAAGCCAGCTGTGAGGGAACAGGCCTGCAAGGGAGGGCAGTAGGGAAGATCAAGCCTGCAGGGGAGGTCAGGGGTGAGTAGGCTCGCAGGGGAGGGAAGTTGGGGATAAGCAGGTTGGAAGGGGAGCAGTTAGGCATCAATCAGGCTGGCAGGGGAGTGGTTAGGGGGTGATCAGGCTCGTAGGCAGAAGTGGTTAGGGACAATCAGGAAGGCAGGCAGGCAAACAGTTGGGAGCCAGCAGTCCTGGATTGTAAGAGGGATGTCCAACTGCCCGTTTAGGCCCAATGGAGGGGTCCCAGATTGGAGAGAGTGCAGGCTAGGCTGAGGGACACACATCCCCATGCACAAATTTTGTGCACTGTGCATCTAGTCAGTAATTAAATTATTGCAATTAAAAAGTTAATTGACTGTAGATATGTTAAAATGAAATGTGTACCAAATTCTATTTATTATTCTAATATCTGACCTCCATTACAAAATTATTTCCAAAGTTGTACTTTCATTAACATATTAACAGATTAATGAAACAAAATTTATAATCAACTATTCTCCCCTCAGTAAGTTATACATTTTCCTTACATTTTGCACATCAAAATTTAAAAACATGGGAATTTTATCCATGTCATTTAGAGATTCATAAGAATAAAAACTGTAAAGAGCAACCGATTCTCAACAATGATTATAACAATGATGACTATGATCTCCTTCCAATGTTAGAAAAGCAATGAACTAGGCTGTATGTATGTATTTGTCAGTTTATAGGCTTGTTTACATGAAGATGCTGAAAGTTTAATTTATTCCTGGTGTACTTTGAGAGCTACCTCAATGATTTTACCTATTTGAAATGCATGAACTATCACAACTTTGAGCACAGCCAGATAGTAAAAGTGCTGAAGCACATCTGGTTTGAATATGTAAAGCACTAGGCACATGACATGCCTGCTTAGAGTACTAAAGAGTCAAACAAGGTACTAGCTTATATTTTTAAACCCAATTATTTACCATCATTCTGATGCTCATTTTGTCATGAACATCAATCTAAATTTTTGAGATAATTTACAGAAGTGAATAATAGGCTATTTTGTTTGCTTAGCCTACATATAAAATACTTTAGCCTAAAAAAATAAAGAATGAAACAGAAGCTGAGAGTGCCCTATGCTCTTGGACAGACAGGCAAGCTCTGCCTTTTGAGCTAGCAGACTCTTTAAATATTAAGTTCAATTTTGTTCTCACTCATTACCTATGGGACATTGGGAACCAATAAAACTATACATTTATGTACCATAAAAATTTTACATATACTTTTATTGTTCATGTTAGTATTTAAGTAATTTGTGTATATATTGATTTGTTTCATTCTCAAACAACCAATTAAGGATATAAAACTAGTTATGATACAAATTTTCACCATAATTCACAAAATATTTTATATCAAAATAACAATATAATAACACCAAGTTTTCATGTGTTAATAACTGATTTTTATTTCTGAATATCCTATTTATTCTTTTTCAAATGAAATGATATTTTTAAGATTTAAAAATCTTAGGATCACTAAAATTTTATACTTCTATTTTGTCTGAAATATAGTTTCTGTCATGTGCTTCTTATCCATCTTGATAAAGTTTAATTTTTTTTCTTACTTCCTTCTTTCACTTTCTTCTAATAACTTTTATCTGTTATTTAATAGAATATTTATCTATTTTGGTAGCAATTTATATTTTAGTCAATGTATATGCCTATCATTACTGACCTATAATAAACACCCAATATGTTACTGATTTATAAGTACATGAATAAATAAAAGCATTAATTTTTCAAAAGATTAACTAATTTGGAACATATATTGATTAATCAATATATTAGTATGCATTTTTTTATCTTTCAATAAAATCCAAGGTTTAATCTTTTCTAGCTGAATAGAGCTGCTGACTAGCTCTGTGTTGGAAGAACTAATAAAGTGTGTCCCACATGCCTTATAAATATTAACTCATTAATTTCTTTTTACAACTTTATGCGTTTATGAGGAAGCTGAGGAAAAGAAGGCGAAGTAACTTGTTCAACAAGATCCAAGAACTATTACGTGGCAGAACCAGGAACTACAACCAGGCATAACAGGGCCCATACTTCCCCAGGTTTTTGTTAATGGAAAAAGTGATTAACTTTCATCTCAGTATAAGGTAAAATTTTATCTTAATTGCACTGAAAGTTGTTCAAATCAGATGAAATTCTAATTTAGTAAGTTGATTGTTTATACATAATCATAAAAGATTGTTCATCCATATGCTCTCTCTTTGCTCTTTCATTTGGCAATTTCTTGATGCTTGCATTTATTCTGAGACTTATATTATTAAATGCAGACTAATTTAAGTATCAGTATTGCTAATGTTTTGACATTTTATAGAAAAATACTATTTAAAAGCATCTACTCAAATTACCAATTAACTTTCTTGATGTGAAATCGATTAAAAACAGAGGTTCTTATACATAGTTTTGGAATCACGCGCACACACACACACACACACACACACACACAAAGATCACACATTTTAAAATAAAGAATCTAGTACTTCTCAGAAATGTATTTGAACAGAATATAGGCTATCTTGTGATATCTATAAATTCAACCATAAGGATAAATAATTGTGTATGCTATATAAACAAACATTACATGGGAGCACATTGCAATTCAATGGTATGGTACCCATTTACCAAAAGATTTTCTGATATCACAGAATTTTCTGAGAAATAAAAAGATTTTTTTAAACATATATTATAGAAATGATTTGCACCACAATAAAGTTAAAGAACAATTAAACATTCATTTTGAATAATAAACATAAAACTTTCAGAGATACTTCCTTACCTGTTTTATTGGAAAGTCTAAATGATACCATCTTATCAGGAATATTACATACATTCCTCACTGACGCAATGCAGCTATAATTAGCATAGTCCTGAGGTCGAAGATTCTTTAATTTTAAGATCTTTGTTTCACCCTGAAAATGTGAAAAAGGTTATTAAAAAACTTAATAGTAATCAAAATGAATGAATCATGGCATTATATTGTTCTAAATCATATTATTAGCAGAATTTTGAACATTATGTTTTTTAAAGGAAAATGCCAACTTTGAAAGTATTGGTAGAACAAAAATAATGAAGTTATGTATAATTTAATTTATATACATAAATATTTTGTGAATATGAAGCAATGACAGAATACAAATCTAAAACTGAATAAATAAGTATTCATGACTGTAGCTATATTATTATTGTTTTTGTTATTATTATTTATGTTCAAGAGTTCAAGGTCTAGGAGTCCCAGATAAATCTGCAAAATTGCAAATAGACTCAACTAAGGCAAATGACCAGAAATACCATATAAACTATTGATTAGCAAGAAAACCATGAAAAAAAAAGACTGAAATTATTTAAAAAGTAAACATAATTCACAAAGAACAACAATAAAAAAAACCCCACACATAAATAAATAAATAAATAAATAAATAAATAAATAAAAAACACACACTCCTGCTCAATTCAAATAGGTTTCTTGGAAATTATTTACCTTCCAAAGTCTATGCATCTTCTCAAAATAGCAAGAGTTACTCTCATAAGTAATTGAATTGTGAAAATGATAAAACTGTATCTCAATGACATCAGATTTGGTATAGCAATTTTCAAAATATTAGTTTTTTTCTAGATGACATCTGTATGAAATCATGTGTTCTTTTATTTTCCTTCAGTAATATTTAAATTCAAAAACTGACAGCACTTGTATACATTCTTCAAAAGGATCAGAACACTTAGTGACAATACATAAAGACAGTACCTGTTCATTTTCAAAAAACAAAACAAAAAACACAAGCTTGCTCATACATAGGCAGGTACACAGAGGTTTCCAAACTTATCAAATGAATGTCTCCTTCTGTGTGCATACACTTTGGCCATATGTCCTTTCATTCACTGTCAAAATCCACTCTTTTTTTTTTTTTTTTTAATATACTTTATTGATTTTTTTACAGAGAGGAAGGGAAAGAGATACAGAGAAACATCAATGAGAGAGAAATATTGACCAGCTGCCTCCTGTACACCTCCTACTGGGGATGTGTCCGCAACCAACGTACATGCCCTTGACCGAAATCGAACCTGCAACCTTTCAGTCCGCAGGCTGATGCTCTATCCATTAAGCTAACCGGTTTGGGCTCAAAATTCACTCTTAACTCAGTCACATTTTTAGCATTTTCATCTGTGGTATAAGCAACAATCATCTCTCTTAATTTTTCTGTAAAAAAATATGTTGTATTTTTTTTCTCCACAATTATATATACACCATACAATTATACAGTCAATGTGTGTTTTTTTTAGAACTTACATTTAAAACAAGTTATAACTGTATTATAGAGTTACTAGAGGCTCAGTGCATGGAATTTGTCCACAGAGGAGAATGTCCCTAAGCTTGGCCTGCACTCTCTCCAATCTGGGACCCGTCAAGGGATATCTGACTGGCAGTTTAGGCAGGTTCCTTTAGGGATCCCTCTTGCTGGCTCCTAACCACTCACCTGCCTGCCTGCCTGATGTCCCCTAACCACCTCTGCCTGCCAGCCTGATCACCCCTAACCACTTCCAGGTCAGCTTGATAGTCACCTAACTGCTCCCCTGCTGACCCAATTGCCCTCAATTGCCATCCCCTGCCAGCCTGATTGCCCCTAATAGCTCTCCCCTGCCGGCCTGATTGCCCCTAACTGCCCTCCCCTGCCAGCGTCATCCCCCTAACTGCTCTCCCCTGCTGGCCTAATCACCCTAACCACCTCTGCCTCGGCCCCTGCCACTGTGGCTTTGACCAGAAGGATGTCTGGAAGATATTTTATCTAATTAGCACATTAACCTTTTATTAGTATAGATAATTTATGTTAATTGGATATAATGCCTAGAAAAATCTATTTAGTTATAAAGCACAGTTGAAAGAGAATATTATATGAGAATTAGTTGACTCAGGTAATTTTTAAATCCTATTCCTTCTACTTTTGTGACATTCTATTTATTTTATAGTTAATCTCACTATAAAATTCGCCTAGGTGATTTTAGACTTGCCAATAAATTTCTACTACAAGCCCTTACTCCCCCAATCACTCTATCAAGTCTGTATTCCTATTCCAGGATTCTCCCTGTAGTTTCAGATACATATACCAATTTTTTTTTTTACTACAACAGGTTCATTCTGATGTCTCACAGACACTTAAAACTCAACATATTCTAAATTGAATTTAAAGACCACTTTCTATATCTACTGTTATTTTTTTAGTAAGATAAATCTTAGACTTTTGATTACTACTTCTTTGTATAGTCAATATCTCCCTCTTAGATCCTTCTATTGATCTTTGTTTTGCTGTTGCTCTTGTTAATTCTCACTGAGTGTAGAGTATTGTTTCCAGTGATTTTTGAGAATGGAAGGGAGAGATTGGTTGCTTCTTGCACATGCCCTATGAAGTCTAGATACACAATTTCCCAGTGGTTCAGTTAACATGGCATTGGAGATTTGTTTTGTCTAAACATTATTCATATCTAGTATTCAGAAAAAAAAAGATGCCAAAATGTGTGATCCTACAGTACAGTCATCTTGGTTAATTAGTAAGATTAATCTGTGTAGCATGTCAAAGAGGCAGACTGGCCAATACAGCCACAATATATTGAAGCAATATAGAAAAAAGACAGAGTTATGAAAGAATTTAAGCCTTATCCACTTAATTAATTCACCACATTCAGATAATGATAAAGACATTCAAGATAACCCTCTTCCTCTCAACGAACAGCTCCCAAGTTAGTGTGTGTGTTCATGTAGAGGCATATTTACTATTTAGACTTCATAATTTAAAACTGTTATATCACTTAACATCAATTTTTATTTTGTTGATCATATAAATTTAATATTCTGTGATGTTGGAAGGCTTTTTGCATGTGAATTTTCAAGATTTGTAAAGGAAATTTTCAGTTGATTATTGCCTAATTATATAATTAGTAATTATAGTTAATTATGTAATTGATGTAAATATGTAATTAGGTGTTTAATTATAAACACAATACGATGTCATCAACATATTTTTATAAGTTCTAGGAAAATAGCAACAGTACATATAATTTGTAAAATTTAAGTACATATTTATGTAAGAACCACAAAAATTAATTTCAGCACCTATATTTAAATGTTTAAAACTTCTTTTTTTAAATAAAAGAAATAAAGATATATTTTTAGTAGCCATTACCATTGGTGATAATTTCTAATAAAATAATGACCATAGCCGTAAGTAGTATTTCTGTTTTACTTATGAATATGGATTTTAATACACTTCATTTCCAGACTATGATAATTTTCTAGTTATAATTTTTTTTATTAAAATGTATTATTTCTTGACTCTGAAGTCTATTTCTTGACTTCAAATTACCATTCTCTGAAGCCTATCTTTTTGTGTGTTATTTCTTAAAAACTTTTTAATATTGACGTTATTGCAGACTTCCCTCATCTCCCCCTTTGCCTATCTTCACCTACTCGTCTTCCCTTCTTTTGGCCTTTGCCACACTATTGTCCAACTTATTTTTAATTAATTTCTAGTTCAATCTCATTGTATTAAAAAGCATATTCTGAATAATTTTAATCTTTAAAAATTGAGACTTGCACTATGCTAAACCTATGTTCTACTTTCATAAATGATCCATGTGCATCCATAAGAATGTGCATTTCAAAATTGTTGAATGCCAATTAGGTCATATTTGTTAATTTTGTTATTCAGACCTTCTATATGTTTTCTTATTGTTATGTCTGTTATTCTAAGCCACATGTGTCAAACACAAGGCCCGCGGGCCAAATCCGTCCCACCAGGCCTTGCAATGTGGCCCGCACCGCGCTATCATCACTGCACTCCGCTGTGTTTCCATCACAATGACAGTTTATGACTGTTCAGTAAACCATTCAGCCTGCGATTTAGGCTGGATTTTAGATTTTGGCCCCTTCTCTGATTGAGTTCGACACCCCTATTCTAAGCTATTGAGAGAGTGTAGTTACTATCTCTGTATTTATATATTTAAAATATATTAGTAGTACATACAGATTTAGATTAATTATATCTTCCTTGTAGACTGAGTATATTATCTTCTTGATGGTATATCTTCTGGTAGATTGTCATTAAGAAATGTCCTTCTTTATCTCTAGGAGTGTTTCTTGCCTTAAAGTTTGTTTGGTCTGCCATTAATTAATTACACAAGTTGTATTTTAGTTAGTGGTTTTTACGATTTTTAGAGGCAGGAGTTGTGGAAAGGAATGGCAAGTCATCTCTTTTACTTTCATAATTTTCTATGTCTTTATATTTAAAACATGTTATTAGAACCATTATATAGGTTTTTGTTGTTTTAATCCAGTTGGGCAATCTCAGTATTTAGTGCATTTAATCCAATGGCTGCTATCTATTTTTTTTTTCTACATGACCCACCTGTTCTATTTTATATCCCTCTTTCCTTGCTTTTGTATTTATAAAAAACTTGTAATTATTTAATCTCTTTTATTTAACTAAGAATTTTAAATTATTTTATTATCATTTTATTGGTAACTTAAAAATTATAGCTTGCACCCTTGACTGCTTCCTCAATAAGGAGATAAACATAGAATACATTAATAATATTTGCATTTGTTATATTTTATTTGAGTCTAGTATTTTAATTCTACATATATTTAAAAATTAATAGGACATTATTTTGTTTTTTAAACCATCGTTATCCACTTATATTTACCAACTTATCCTTTCTCCATTTTGAGTTAATTTTTGTTTATGGTGTGACGGAATGTTTGAGGTTCATTAAAAATGTATATTTTTATTGATTTTAGAGAGGAAGTAAGAGAGATAGAAACATCAATGATGACAGAGAATCATTGATTAGCTGCCTCTTATACACCTTCCACTGGGATCCAGCCCACAACTTGGGCATATGCCATTGACCAGAATCAAACCCAGGACCTTTCAATCCACAGGCCGATGTTCTATCCACTGAGGCAAACTGGCTAGGGTGAGGTTTTTTGTTTTTGTTTTTGTTTTGTTTTGTTTTTACAGGATAGACATGTGCTCTAGTACCATTTATTGCAAAGATCATTCTTTCACAACTAAAATTTTTTTTGGCACCTAAATTGAAGATCAATTAGCCCTGTGTATTAAGGTCGATTTCTGAACTATTTATTCTGTTACATCGATTATATATCTATCTTTATGTCAACACCACATGCCTTAATTACTATAGCTTATAAGAAATCCTGGAATCAGGAAAAATAAGTCCTTCAACTGTGTTCATCTCTTTCAAATTGTTTTGAATATTTTAGCTTCTTTCTATTTCCACCTAAATTTTATTATCCTCTTGTCAATTTCTGGTAAGATTTTGAATGAGGTTTTGTTGAATTTATAGATCAATTTGAGGAAACTGATATTAAGGTTATTGAAGTGAGGATGATTGATTTTGGCAATATATTTAATCAATGAAAAATCCCATTCCTATTTTATTTTAATTTTAATTATTTAACATATGTAATATTTATTGCCCATTGAAATATTTGAGAGCACATGTAAGATTTAACCAAACCAGCTTCATTTAGATTGATCACCTTTTGAGATATTGCTTTGAGTCTTTGTGTATATATATAAAGCTGCCAGGCTGGGAGCGGCCAGGCCCGGAGCAGCCGGGTCTGGTGCGGCCAGGCCCAAAGCAGCGGTTGCCAGGCTGGGAGCAGCCAGGCCCAGAGCATCCAGGCCCAGAGCAGCCAGGTTGGGTGCGGCCAGGCCCGGAGCAGCAGCAGCCAGGTCCAGAGCAACTAGGTCGGGAGCGGCGGTGACCAGACCCGGAGCAGCTGGTTGTGGAATGAACCAGAGCAACAGAGGCCAGGCCCGGAGCAGCCAGGCCTGGAACAGCTCGCTTCTCGCCTGCCCCTACCCCATGGCTGCCTCTCAGACATGGCTGGAAACTTTTGTGGGAACTTGAGGGTCTGCTGAATCAAGTGATGAAGGCTTAGATCTGGATGTGTTGAGTTAGTATAGGGCTGGGGTGTTGATCTGTGAGTGCCTTGGGTGGGGCCTGTATGAGGCTGGTTGACCTATTTGGAAATGTCTTTTGTGTGAAATGTATCATTGGGCATGTGGTGGTATTATTGATATGAGAAAATGCTAAGTAACTGATTTACTATCTGAAAAGGGATTTACTATCGGGGGAAGGCAGGGAGGAAGAGACTGAACATAAACTGCACCTATAAATGAGGACAATGGGGGATGAGGAAGGGGAGGAGGGTGGGGTGGGAACCTGGTGGAGGGGGGAAGAAATTAGGAACCTTTGTAACAATATGAACAATAAAGATTGATTAAATAAAAATAAAAAATAAAAAAATAAAAAAAAGAAATATCAGTACTGATATGGTCAAGTTAAAATGTTCTTTCTCAAAAGAATGGGAGGAAAAAAAGAAGAGAGAAATGAGTTATTTTAAAAGGCATAATCAATTGCTATTAGTTTGAGAGCTCTTATAAGGTGATATTTTGGAGTACTAATAGTAACAAATTCAAATAAATGGGTGAAAAGTTTTTTTGTGCTTCTTTAATAACTTCAAAATAAATTCCTAATTATTTTGAAATTATAAACTTTCCCAGAGTTGGAAAGGCTCATGTGCTCATTTCCAAGTGATCAGACTCATCTGAAGATAAGAAATAGCTATGCAATAAATAGGGGTTTAGAATTACCTTGGTGCCTACAAATGTGATAATGTTTGTTGGCATAATAATGATTGTAGGCACTGAGGTAATTCTAAATTATATATTCTATAAATTTAAAAAATGCCCATATTTTAAAAATAAATTTATAAAAGTATAATCAGACATGATCATTGATCATTTATCTGAATTTCTAAACCCTAGAGGTATCTGAGCATTAACATACTAAGCATTTACTTAATAAATCTTTTGTTATATTTTTATTTATGAATTTTTATTTTAATAAGAATTGAAGAATATAGTTCCATTGTGCAGAATATATATATGGAAATTGTGACAGAGAATGATTGATGAAAAAAGGGAAGGGGGATAGGGGGAACATCTGTAATAGTGTTAATAATTAAAAAAATAAAAGTGGGAGGGTCAGATTAAAACAGCTTTCAATACTATATCATTGGCAATACATATGAACAATGATTTTTCAGACATTTATATTATGGCAAGTAATAGCTGTTCTGTATCTTTACATAGCAATATATAGAAACATGTTTACTTATATATTCATAGTATTTATATATGTTATTTTTTATAAAAATACAATATACGCAGATATTTTGATATATGCAATTGTTTTGTATTTTTTCAGTTAATATATCAAAACTGGCAATTATATTAATGTGAAACTGGCCAGGCCTTGAACATTAAAGTAAATGGTTTACTATATATGAAAATATATTTAGTGGTATAAATGGGATGCTGAGAATTGTACAAACTCAGTATAACCTTATGCCATTAGAGAGTTAAGATATGAAACATGTAATAATCTATCTTTAAACTTTTGAAGGAATTTTTTAAAGAAATGTTTGTAATATTTTAAATTTAGTTGTATATTTCCCTAATTATGAATTTGCAATGTCTCAAAACTTAGAAAATGTGGTCAAGCATCTGTTTATTTTATTGTCTATATCAGGTTGTTTATTATTATTATTACTAGAGGCCTGGTCTACAAAATTCATACACTGGGGCGGGGGTCAAGGGGTTGTCCCTCAGCTCAGCCTGCACCCTCTCCAATCTGTGACCCTTTGGGAGATGTCTGACTGCCGGTTTAGGTCCACAGGGATTGGGCCAAAACCTGCAGTTGGACAGACCTCTCAAAATCCAGGACTGCTGGCTCCCAACTGATTGCCTGCCTGCCTGATAAGTCCCTAATCATTTCTGCCTGCCAGCCTGATCACTCCCTAACCACTTCCCTATCAGCTTGATAGATACCTAACTGCTTCCCTGCTGGCCCAAATGCCCTCAACTGCCTTCTCCTGCTGGCCTGGTTGCCCCTAACTGCCCTCCCCTGCTGGCCTGATCACCCATAACTGCCCTGTCAGCCATCTTGTGGTGGCCATCTTGTGACCACATGGGGACAGGCTCTTGTGTGAAGACATGATGGTCAATTTGAATATTACCACTTTATTATATAGAATTATTATTATTACTTTTATTATTATTCTCTAGACGCATTAATTTGAATATGTTTCCAAATATATTTTTAAAAATCTTCTCTTTAGCCGAAGCTGGTTTGGCTCAGTGGTAGAGCGTTGGTCTGTGGACTGAAAGGTCCCAGGTTAGATTCCGGTCAGGGGTATGTACGTTGGTTGCGGGCACATCCCCGGTGCGGGGTGTGCAACAGGCAGCTGGTCGATGTTTTTCTCTCATCGACGTTTCTAGCTCTCTATCTCTCTCCCTTCCCCTCTGTGAAAAATCAATAAAATATACTTAAAAAAATCTTCTCTTTATTAAATAGTTTTTGGCTCCTCTGCAGTCATAAAAAAAGACACATTCTGATTAAACAGCTTTCAAATATATTCCTATAAACTTCAATGTCTTCTTCAGTAATTATTAACTCTCCACTCTCAGTATATTACAGAAACATATTTCATATAAAATCCACTCTATAAAAATGAATTCAATTTTTTTTTCTTTTTCTAAAATAAGTTTTTAATGATGCATTATATGTTTTACTTTTTACATAATTATGGCTCTACTCATAAATAACTGAAAACCAAAAATGAACAAATGAAATTAACAGGTTTTTTTCTAAAATCAAAGTGAAATAAATGTCAAGTATGTTGAGGAGTGAATGCGAGTGAATGACCACTGGAGTCCAGACCAAATTAAAATCTAGGGAGCCCTTATTGGCCGGCCTGCTAGCCAACCAGCCAGTGACTGCTCTGCCTTTCTCCACACAGGGAGTCCAGGGAAAAGTAGTGAACCTTTGTGTAGGACCACTTTTAAGCCCATTTACCAAATCCTGTTTTTGCAGAACAAGTAACCCAAGACAAAACAGTTTTCCTAAGCAACATCAGGATAATGCCACTGACAACTATGTTATTTACAGAGTCATCTTGTTCTTCAGAAAGCTGAAAATGTTCTGTGAAAGAAGGCCTATGCGCTGGGAAGAGGCCATGAGACCATGTCTCAAAGCCTGGCTTGGTGTCAGCATTGACAATTCTATCTGGAAGCATGCTCAAAAATTTCCACTGTCCAACAAAGTACATTTCTTCATTTCTTCAAAACTTATTTATCAATGAAATGGGGAAACCCAAGTTTTTAAAAAATATTTCCTACAAAGAAAAGCAGTCAGCAAATGCATAATTATGTACTTTATAATGGAACGTAGGTGAACTTATGAAGATAGGAAAGTTAGGATAATTAATTTAATTTTTTCAAGCGTTAACATAAAACTTAATGAATTACCATGTGAAAATTAATTTTTTCTTCATTATTTGAGTCTTCTGATGGTTCAATCAAGAATATATTTTTTGAAGGCCAGGTTTGAAGAAAGTATCTTTTCAAATAAATATAATATTACATGTTGCTTGCATTAGGATAATATTCTAGCAGAATGGGGTGGATATACTATACCTTAATTCCTACCTGGGTAAAGAAGGGTTCATAAATCTCCACTCCTTTATCAGATCCTTGTAGTAACACTTCCTGGCCACGCCTCCAGCTGTACCGAACAGGTGGATTGGAATTGGCAACACACCTGAGGAATACTGTTCTTTCATAGTAAAACTGTTCTTTAGCTTCACCTATACTTTGATGAACAGTTACTATAGGGTCATCCAAATCTAGAACAAAATTAAGACAATTGCGTGAATATGTTGAGTTACATAGCTTTTGAAGTATTACTGTACATATAAAAACTAACCAAATAGCATTTTAATTGATTTTATTGCTTATCATTAGATTCATTTTTCCATTGAGTTATTAAACTCATTTACAGAAAAATCTTCAATGATGAACAGTAAAAACAAGTAATAACTACTTCTTAAGATCTTTGTTTGTTATGATAGTACAAATAACCTCGCATATTTATAACACTTTGCCAACAGCTGCATAAAACAGAGCTCCAAGTAAAACATCAGAATTCAAAATCCTCAAATTCAAGAGCCTGGCTAAAACAATAAACCACAGTGACAGAGAAATAAATATCAGGCAGCACAGTTGACACTTTCCCTTGACATACTTCTTCCAATTATATACAACTGATATATTTAAAATGATAAAAAATTATTATAAGCTTTATAGCAAAAAAATTTGATATTGTAGAGTTTAAGTTTCTCATTCATTTCATATTTTATAACTTAGATCATATCTGTTGATATGAAATATGTTAATAGAAGGTACTATTAAAAGTTTTTAATGTTTTTTCTGAATATTGTAGTGAAATGTTTGACAATTTGCATGCATCCCAAAATAAGGATATATACCACAAGTTTTAGAGAACATTTTCTGAAAAAAAACAAAACAAAAACACAATATGTAAGTATCTTGGTCTTGGTGGGTCATAGCACTGTAGTGTGAAAGTAGCCAAAGACAACAGGTAAAATGCATAAAAGATGAATGTTGCTGAGTACCAATAACATTTTATTTACAATTGCAAGTGCCCTGGCCTGAATGGGCTAATGGGCAATTGTCTGCCACAGATTGCCAAACTCTAATATACTATAGGCAAGGTTCTTTTCTTAAGAGAAAAAGAAATTAAGAACTGTATTTGCTTTAAAACAACTGTATTGCATATTTAAGTTGCTAAGAGAGTAAATATTAAAAATTCTCCTCACAAGGAAAATAAAATTGTAATTGTATGTGGTGATGGATGTTAACCAGACTTATTGTGGTATCATTTCATAATACATACAAATATTGAATAATTATGTTGCATATCTGAAATTAATATAATGTTATAAGTCCCTTATATATCAAAAAATGGGGAAACAGAAAAGAAAATCCCTAGGTTTCACATACTATACAATAAGAATTAATATGTAAATTGATCATCACTCCAACACAAGATGGCCACCCCCATGTGGACACAAGATGGCCAGCAGGGAAGAGCAGTTGTGGGTGATCAGGCCAACAGGAGAGGACAGTTAGGGGCAATCGGGCCAACAGGGGGAAGTTAAGCATAGATCAGGCTGGCAGGGGAGTGGTTAAGTGGTTAACAGTCTGGCAGGCAGAAGCAGTTAGGAACAATCAAGCATGCAGGCAGACCAGCGGTTTGGAGCTAGCAATACTGGATTGTGAGAGGGATGTCCAACTGCACATTTAGGCCTGATCCTAAGGGGTCCTCGAATGGAGAGGGTGCAGGCTGGGCTGAGGAACATCCCCCCAACCCAGAGGGATTTTCATGTACCAGACCTCTACTTATAATATAAACTTAGTCTATGCTTATTAAGAGTGATGCAAAATATTAGTTATATTTAAAGTTTATTTCAATGAGCTTTACTCCTTTAGCTTTATAACTCTAAAAGGTAATAACTTTTGTGGTCTTAAATTTTCTTATCAATTAACTGGAATTAATCATGGTATATATTAATAAGGCTGTTGGAGGAGTAAATGAGATAATCCATAATGCCTTGGCACATGACAAATGCTCAATAAAAGTTATTATTATTATTATTATTATTATTATTATTATTATTATTTAGATTCCCATTAATTCTATGTTGTTTTCACACCCTTATTTCACCAATTTAAAATTAACTCACTTTCATTTTAAATAGGTAAACATGTCACTTTAACATTTGTTCTGGCTATCAAATGTTTATAAATAACACATATTTTTAAGTGAAATCTGAAAAGGAGCAACCATATATATAAACATAATGGAAAGGTTTGTGAACATATGCTGTCTGAATATTTAAAAGACATTCCTCCCCAGAAAATATTCTTTTTGATATATTAAAATAATTGCAAACCAGCAAAAGTAGTTAAGTAATAATTTTCCTAAGAAAATTACTGGTAAGTACAGAATCTCAAATTTCACCAGTTAAAAAACAGGGCGGGGGAGAATTCAAATGTGAATTACTTGACAGTCCTACTTCGATTTCTTGGTTTACAACATTCTGAGGGGTTCTCCTCCCTCCCCCAGCGTTAGAATATGTTCACAGCTACCTCCAGGACCTCTAACTTTTGGTTTAACTTTCCAGAACAACTGCTGCTTTTCAGAAAATCTTTAAGAAACTTTCTGTTTATATTTACTCTATTAGCTATGCAAGGATATATGCTTTTGGTTTAAATAAGTCAGAGTATGTATGGATTCTAGCATTATTATCCTGAAATATGTACATCATATTGGGTCTAGTAATAATTAATGTCGTTTTTCAACATTCGTTTAAAATCTTGCTTGGCGTTGACTTGTATTGACATAACCTTCAAACACGTGGTATCTACAGAACGTGTGAAGTGCAATTAACAAGTTTTGCTTGAAAAAGTTTGTGTTTGGTTTGGTTTTTGTTGCAAAACTAGGGCTAAGAAGATGGCGGATGAAGAGCATATTCGGCACTGCATGCTTTACGAGTTCCAATTAGGAAGAAAAGCAAGTGAGGCTGCAAAAAACATCTGTAGTGCTCTTGGTCAAGATGCAATTAGCGCCAGAAAATGCCAGCGTTGGTTTGAGAAATTTCGCGAGGGAAATTTTTCATTAGATGACAAGAGTGGTCGAGGCTGTGTGTCCAATTTTGATCAAGAAGCTCTTCAAGCTCTTTTGGTCCAAAATCCTCAAATTACCCAACAAGAGCTTGCGACAACTTTAAATTGTTCACAAAAAAACAATTTCCAATCAATTGCGTGCACTTGGCAAAGTCCAAAAGTTTGGAAAATGGGTTCCTCATGAGTTGACCGACAACAACCGTAATCAAAGAGTCACAATTTGCAGTTCGCTCCTCTCTCGTCAAAACCGTTTGCCGTTTTTAGAGCAAATTGTTACCGGAGATCAACCATGGGTGCTGTATGTTAATTTGAAAAGGCGGCCACAATGGTTGGACAAAAATGAGGCTCCGCAGCCCACCCCAAAACCTGACTTGCATGCGAAAAAAGTGATGTTGTGTGTTTGGTGGAATTTTAAAGGAATTCTTCATTATGAACTTTTACCATCTAACCAAACCATTACAAGTGCAGTGTATAGTGCCCAATTGGAAAGGTTAGCCCAAGCTTTAAGAGAAAAAGAACCCGCGCTGATTAATCGGAAGGGCATAATTCTTCACCACGATAACGCACGACCGCATACTGCAAGAATCACTGCTGAAAAACTGCGCCAGTTGTAATGGGAAGTTCTCCCTCAACCTGCATATTCTCCTGATATTGCCCCTTCCGATTACCATTTGTTTCGTTCTTTGCAAAACTTTCTTCTTGGAAAAAAATTTAATAATGAAGAATGCCTCAAAAATGCATTGACCGAATTTTTTGCATCAAAATCACAAGAATTTTACAACAGAGGGATTAAAATGCTTCCTGAGCGTTGGGCACAAGTAATAGAAAACAACGGCAACTATATTGTTGATTAAATTTTGTTGTATTGTTTAAATAAATTCGATTTTAAAAAGTATTAGAAAACGACATTAATTATTACTAGACCTAATATTTCAACTTTAAACTTCATCAAATAAAAAAAATGAAAAAAATAAACTTCATCAAATCCTATAGGAGACTGATGAGCTTAATTTAGCCTTAGTGACTTGAAGAATAAGGTAAACAACTTGTGTTATGATTAATTGTTGAGTTTTTTTTCCCTTGTACAAAATGATTTTTTACTGTTAGAGTCTCATTTTTAGAAAATATGAAGTGTGTTATGTTGTAAATAAGAATTCTAAACTCAGAAATTTTAAAAACAAAAAGTAAAATGTAATTGGATGGTAAACAGTATAACAATGGTGGGTCTCCTTGGGTTCCACATCCTATCTAATAAAAGAGTAATATGCTAATTGACCATAATTTTGCTATGCCCACAACCAATCAGGGGTGCTATGCAAATTAACCCAGCAAAGATGGCGGCCATGCCCCCATTGCTGAGAGACCTGGCAGGACAGGGTGAGGCAGCGCCCACCCTGGGCCACTGCTGCTCCTATCATTGAGGGACCTGGGCGGCAGCAGCGCCTGATCACGGATGGTGGAGCAGGGCTGGGCAGTGCCCACCCCACACCGCCGCAGCCGGAGTGCAAGCCCCGACTGTGAAAGAAGGCAGAAGGCAATGGCCAGACCCAAGGCCTGGGTCCCAGGTGCCAGAAGAAAACTGGTGCCAGCAGCCAGGTGAAGGAAGGTCTATTGCATGAATCTTTGTGCAATGGGCCTCTAATAGTTTAATATTGTCCTTTACAACATTCATATATCAATTTATTTCTAGCTCTTTTCTTATTAGGTGGTGGTGTCTAAATGTTCAGTTAGAAATAGATGAAACTTGAATAATCAACTAAACATGCTTTTCCTTGACCTATGTGATATTTGGTCACTGGCCATGAGAGAATCTGATCCTATGACAACCATATTTACTGAACATTATATTGGCAGAATTATATATTGAATTCACCCATATTTAGCAAAATTCTGCTTCATAAATCTCCTAAGTCATTTCTTCAGATTTAAAACTAAATATGCTAAAGAGAAGATTTATTTTAGACTTGTCTATATATATCCTATCTAATAAAAGAGTAATATGCAAATTGACCATACAGCCCCAGCATCCACAAAACACTCCCGCCAGCCAATCAGAAGTGAGAATTCAAATTAGCCCAACCAACATGGCTATGGCCACAGAGCAAGCAGGAGTCTTGGGTTTCCCCAGCGATGAAGG